CTGGCGAGGAAGTATAATGCACCCCGCGGTTCGCGAGTTAGCGATGCGGGTCGCGCATTCGCGTAATGAAGACCCTCGAGAGAGAGAGAGAGAGAGCCCAAAGGCCTTTTGTCAATCGCTTTACACAGTCGCTTCAATCGGAAATCCGTATCTCCGTCGCGGAATACGTTCGCGGCATCGCGTGCGCCTAATGCCTTGAATCGATGCGTGTCTGATCGTCCAAGAATGGGCCGTCCACTTGTGAGAGTAGCGGCTGATCGACATGTCATTTTGTGTATTCCGAATAATAAGTAGAAACGAGAGGAAAGTAACAAAAAAAGGAAAGCAATTTTGTTGATTAAAAATTAAAAATATGTTGCACCAACGATATTTTGGCTCTGGCGAAATTTAAAATTTCAAATTTGTTGCTGAAGCAAAAGCGAAGTCTAACGTGCTTTAATTTGCACAAATAAATAATAAAATAAATGCAAAGCATTTTAAGTATTGCTTTGGTACAAATTTGAAGTTTTAAGTTTCAAAATTTCGTTGATGCAACTGGCCCTTAGAATGCCAATACATCTCGTTGTTTTCGAGTTATTACCGTTTTTATGTTGCTAAAGCAGCCCGCCATCTTTACTTGATTTTAATTATGTTATAAAAATCATGAAGATCATCTCTTCTTTCAACTTTGACAAAAAAATTTGAAAGCAAAGCAATTTTAAATTTCAACATAAAAATAACGATTTCCAGATCTATATTCATCCAACTTTTTTCTTATTTTTGAATCTTCAATCCATCTGAATCTTCCAAGTGATTGATGTTCACTTTTAAAATATATAAAAAAATATATATATATTTATTTATTTATACATACACATATATGCACGTTGCTCTACAATTATGTTTATTGTTAAATATCTCGATTCGCGATCGGTTTCAAAACGATGAAAGAAAAGCTAATTATAGTCGCAACAAATGTGATAATTATAGGACAGCTTATGTAAACTATATATAATTATAATCGTATCTTAAACGTAATTCGCATATTCGTCGGTACGAAGTGAAACGGTCGAGGTTCTCTGCTTCGTTCCTCGGCGTCCACTTCTCGCGAAATGTGTAAATGTGTTAAGAACTCGTCAAATGTGTTAACAAGCGGCTCGATTACAGCGGCGAGAATAAAAATGCCGGCAACCTTCGCGCGATGCAGAATCATACACGTCAGTGAATTGCATGTTTGCTACTTGGGCGCGCTTGATGAGATAATCGTCGCGCGATTAATCGTCGCCGCTAATCACGTTCAATCAATCGACCCCCCGTACATCGACCGATCCAATATCGATGCGATGTACAGGTTCCAGGAGGTTCCTCTATTAATATTGTCCCGGTGAATCTTGGACTTGACCGTGTGGCTTTCTTTCCGCGCTCGCGTGTCCAATTTAAATTCCCCGCATTCGCCGCTGCCACGTTTACGAGCGTGGCGCGAGGCTTGATCCCGAGCTGCATTGTTTTAATGTCGAGGCGACCATGGCTGAGAAAATTGCGTTTTTTTACCTCCGGAGTAATTTGACGATTCTTGGAATCTCGCATTACGTCCGTAGAATACGTTTCAGATTAAAAAAGATATATCGGAAAACGAGCGAGCGTATTCCCTTTAGATGTAAATTCCTACGAGAGGCGCGCGAGGCATTGACGTAAAAAAACCGTTGCGTCGTGATTTTCCGTTGCTCGGCGCAACGTAAATTTCAAACAGTCGATCCTTTGATAAAAGATGTGACTGTTCCCCAAGGAGAGAAGACGGAATCGTGTGTAAAAGGGAAATTCGAAGAGAGAGAGAAAAAGTTGGAAAACGAAACGAAACGGAGAATAGAGGTGCGAGCGCGCGATTTCATTTTACGTAAATTGTCACTATAGCGCAAGAAAAATAAATCCGGCTCCATCCGGGAAGAGAGAAAGAGAGAGAGAGAGAGAGAGAGAGAGAGAGAGAGAGATAGCACTTCCGGCAGCTGGCTTCTTTTTCAAATTACGGTATTCGGTGGCGTGCACACGCGCGCGCTGAGTTCTCGCGCGATGGCGCGCTATTTCGGCCGGCGCCACGGCGCGCAGTGGGCCAAACGCTATTATTAGCGGCGACAAGCCGGCAAAAGTAAAGTGATCGATATATTACACGGCCGTGCGAGAACGCGGCGATAAAATTTGACGGGTCCGTTATTTTATTTCCAAGTGCCAAGAAACGCCTCGCGCGACGGAAAGGGAATTTGCCTCGGCGTACTCGCGCGGATACTCCGCGCAGCTTTGCTTTCCCCCGAGTTTATTTCTCTCGAGCAAACAAAAACGTTGGGGAAACACTATGAAAAAAATAGATTTTATTTTCGAGAGGTCCGCTGTAAGTCACGTCAATAAAATAATTCTTCGATAACGCGGGTCCCCTCAGCTCAGATGCCTTACGTGAAATAAATTCTTCATAAAACCGAATTGAAATAAATCTTTTAGGAAAGTAACGTCGAAAGTAACGCCGGGGGACGTCGGTGAAACTCCGAAAGAATTAAGGAAGACGCGTTCTTTTATCGTCCCAACGCGCGTTTCGCAGCAGATGGGAAAATCTGCCCGAAGGACAAGCCGAGTAGAAGACTCAAACGATTTCTCTCACTAAAAGGACGTTCAGTATCGATTTACGAGTCAATTAGTATGATAATGATACGCGATTTACGCTCGGAGTAGCCTTGGCGAGACATGCATTTTTGCCCTGCGAGAAACGCGCCAAGACTGAGATTACGAGAATCCCTATTTAAGAGAGATATTGAGATGAAAACCACAGTGAATCTATTGAAAAAATTTTTAACTCCTCCGACTTACTAATTTTACAACTGTATAAAAGTTAACGCTCCATGCCCAAATAAAAAAATGTGTCGAAGCAAATAAATAAAATTCCGTCTAAATTTTCAAGATTCGTCTGATGAAATCAAAGGAATCTCGGATGGCAATATTAGCATCGCAACGATATAGTTATAGTTCCGCACAATTATTACTCAGTGGGCGAGCAATTAGGCTCCCCCCCCTCTCTCTCTCTCTCTCTCTTCTTCTC